GATCAAGAAATGCTAATAGCGCCTTCTTCACTATCAACTTATGAAAATACAAGAAAATATCACACACGTTTAAATCAAAGGAATAAAGATATCGATACTGTATATGGTGTAAGAAAATTAACAAAAGACAGATTTATGATTGGTAATTCTGCAATAAATTTCAGTCAAAACTATATTAATGTTGGTAACATGACATTTCGCAGTAGTAAAGGGTTACTTGAGCTTCTTTTTAAAAAAATCCTAGCGAATCTGTTGTGAGTTTAGAGGATTTAAAAAACTTTAAAACAATTTTTTTAACAACGAACGCTCATAAAAAACACTACAGCGCTGATCATCACAAGCAGCTGGAAATTCAAGTCATACAACCGAAATTTTATCTATTATTGAAGAATTACAAGAAGCTAACATTATTTATTAATGAATGTTAATTGAAAGAAACATTAGTTGAAGAATATCTTTCGACGTATTTGGACGTTCCTTTATAAAAAGTGAAAATTCAATTGGTGGACCTCCTGGTGTTGGCTTCAAGGTCACCACTGAAGGACACTTTGATATTGAAAATAAAAAATTACGTAATGTAGCTGAAGCTTCAGAAAACAATGATGCAGGAAATTTAAAATTGGTGCAAAATTTATTAGAAAAAGATGCAGAAGAATTCTACAATAGTATTGCAGTTTTAAGACAACAAGTTAATGACGCTACTTCTGCCATCACGAAATTAACGTTTGATCTGGATAAAGAATTTTTTGAAAAAATCAAAACAGAATATGATGCATTAGATAAACGAGAGTTTTTAAACTCTGAATTTATTTCTCAATTTGAACGCAGACTAAGAGCACTTGAGAAAAAAAATAAATCAAGAAAAATTAGCTCTCGTTAAAGAGTTACACAAGCCTGCGAGAAGAAATTATTCAAGACGAAAATTTGACATTCGAGGAATCGATGAAACTTGGCAAGCCGATCTTGTGAAAATGACGACATATGCAAAGGAAAATAAAGGTTACAAATACATTTTGACTGTCATCGATATTTTCTCAAAATTTGCCTGGGCTGTTCCTGTAAAGAATAAAACTGGCGAAGACGTTACTGCTGCTATGAAGTCAGTACTGGATCAAGGATGTGTGCCAATAATACTATACATCGAATAATTAAAATAATACCAAAAGATGTAAACAGAACGAATGAACGAAACATCTTATTTAGTATATATAAAAAATTTATTGTAAAATCATCGAAAAAAAATTGAAATTTAAAATTAGTGATAAAGTACGAATAAGTAAATTGAAATATGTTTTTGAGAAAGACTATACACCAAATTGGACAACAGAAATCTTCACCATTGATGTTTATAAATAATACTGAACCAACGACTTACTAAAAGATTATCAAAATAATCCAGTTGCTAGAAATTTTTATCAGCAAGAACTTACTCCAGTTAATAATCGTGATATTTATTTAGTTGAAAAAGCAATAAAAAAAACGTGGTAGTAAGATTTATGTAAAATGGTTAGGTTTCAATAATTCTCACAATAGTTGGATAGAAAATATGTAAATTTAATTTATATATATATATATAAGAAATAAAGATTTTTTATTTATTTTTAAAAACGTGTTTTTTTCTTCTCCTTTTAAAAATAGAAATTAAATTTAAGGTTAATAAAACAAATTGAATCACGTTATAAAAAATATTAATATATTCCATTGTTTTTTTTACAAAAAATTATTATCTTCAATAATTCATAAAATTTCTACATATTCGAAAATATCAGCACATAATTTTTTTAAATGAAATGTGCACAATTCACAAAATAATCGTGCAATATGAACAGATACATTATCTCTATTCATTAAAATTATGTTAAGTAAACTAAATTCTCTTTTAACAAATTTTTCAATGGTTTCCACATCTGTAACTCTATTTCTATTAAACATAATTTGTCCAATAGTTTGAATAATAATATTTAAATTATTTTGCATAAATAACTCTTCTAAATCAGAAATCTTTTGTTCAATACAGCCACTTAAGTTTTTTAAAACTTCAAACGTTGTTGCATTAAAATAAAATGAATGTACAGAATTTTTTCTACTCGTTTAATCATCACAAGACGCTGACCCATGTAGATGACAAATTTTAATTCTAAATTACCACATTTGAAAAAACTAGAAATTTCCGTAAAATAACTGCAAACACAATCCCATTCATATCAATATAAAGATAAGGTTGTTCGTGGATGGTTGCTACATAAATTTACTTGCACAATTAAATTTTTGAAATTGTTGACTGTGATTCCAACAACAATCTGTTTATTGAACGATGGAGTTAGGTTATATGCCGTATGGAGAATTAATGTATCTCTTGGTATATATGCCATTATTAAGAATTGGTTTCATTAGCTGATTTTAATTCAAAATTATTATAATCTCCACCCAAATATTTCAACTAGACTGATCTCTGTTCAATTTCTTAAATTTCATAAAATGATGCAATAATTATTTCACATTAAATTATAAATTTAATATTTACCCCCACCACATTTTATTAAATATACGCATATCAATCGAGGAATCTTAATAATGCATAAGTAAAAAAAATATGACAAACACATTTTTTTTTATTTTATTTATATTATCAAATGAAATTTTATACTTACCACTTCCACTTTGACTTTTTCAGAAATAAAACTGTGTAAATCGTACAATTAAAAAAATAAACGAAATATGTATATAAATTAGTCATCTTATTCGATAAAAAAATATTTCTGAGAATTGTTTTTCAGAATAAAGCCCCCCCCCACCCTTCCCAAATACTTTTTAAAAACAAATCCTCCCCCTTTACCCCATCACCGCTACTTACTTACGATTATTACGCCGACCCCCTTTTCACCCGCGAACCCCCCTTTAATGGCACAGCCCTGGCCTATCACACGGACACGCCCCTACAAACATTGCCTCACACCGACACAATACTAATAGGTACAGAACCGGCACAGTATATCTACTAATGTTACATTGAAAAAATTATATTCTAAATTTAAGAATTTCTTCTTAACTAGGCGCCAAGAAAATTCCCCACTAAAAGTTATTTTTCTATTTATTTAATAGTTATTTAATCTTTATTGTAAGAATATTTCCCACTTACTTTAAGTGGGGAATATTCTGGGCGCCTATTTAAGAAGAAATTCTTAAATCTAGAATATAATTTTTTCAGTGTATGATAACGTAATGGTTAGCGTATTAGCCTGCGGAGCGTTAGATTAGGGGGATCGATCCCACAGAGCGTTAAATATTTTCGAAAATGTATGTAAGCGATTGCATTAAATAATATTTCCTTTTTCTATTACACAGAAAAAACAAGGTCTCAAAGTGACTAGGTTATTTCTGTGTACATCAAGTTTTAATATTTTTATTAAGAATAAAAAATATTTTGCATCTATTTATTGTATTTTATGTACCATTATTGAAAGAGCAATAATGGTTATATACCATTTTGTAGTTGTTACAAAACAGTTCTAGAACTGTTAGAAATACATTTGTAACCATGTTCTAGATCTATTACAGAATATTACATATGCGCTGGGTACGAAATTTTGCGGAACCAGTGACTCACAGGTTCTTAACCAGTTATAGAACATGTTCTTAAAAAATTTGTAACAGTTCTATAAATGACCTGTAACAGTGTTTGCTGGGTTAACTGTAGCCTTAGTGTGTAAGGTCACTGTATGGCGGACATTTTAAGTTCACTCTTGTCACAGCTTACATATTTAGTAAATAAAATAACACTTTTGTCTTTAAATTGCCATTTTCTGATATAATTTACCCGGCTGAAATACTTGTACAAGAAAATGTGCAAGTTCTTGTACATGTGCATGAATGAACTTGTACATGTTCAAGTAATGTTCTTGAACAAGTTCGGCATCCGGAATTCAGACCTGTTCTTGTATCAGAACTTGTACAAGATACTGGACAAAAAAATGTACATGTTCTTGTACATATTTTTTGTGCAGGTTTCATGTACATTTTCTTGTACCAGATGTGGAACATGTTCTTGTACATGTTCATTCATGTTTTTTAAATTAAAAACTTTAAAGACTGCGCAGTAGTTTTCTTAAGCCTTTACAGCTACGCAATAATTTTTAGCATGCATAAGTGAAGAGTATAAATAATTATAACTTATTAAAATTGCAAATTTTGTTCAAAAACATTTTTAAACAAATTTTTTTGTACAAGAACATAAACGTATTCATGTAAAAGTACTTGTACATGAAACCTGCACAAAAAATATGTACAAGAACATGTATATTTTCTTATACAAGTATATTTTGTTGTCCGGGATCTTGTACAAGTTCTGATACAGGAACATGTCTCAATTCCGGATGCTGAACTTGGTCAAGAACATTACTTGAACATGTACAAGTTCATTAATGAACATGTACAAGAACTTGTACATTTTCCTGTATAAGTTTTTTCAGCCGGGTAGTCTATTTAAATATTCTATATTAATATTTATTCATTCATTTTATCTTAAAACAGATTTTACATCATTAAAAATCATGCAAAAGTTGTCCGTATACAACCTTCTAATAATTTCGTATTACAGTAAAGGATGTAAGACGGAAAAGTCAGACTTCCGTATACCAGCTTAGGAGTTGGTATAAGGAATTCAGGTTCTTGCTATACAACTTTTTTTACTGGATTGTCATATTTAGAACTACTCCATAAAATTTCAACTTAATCTATTTTGTATTTTATGAGAAAAGTTGCCCAGCAAGCTTACCATAAAATGAAATTTTGTTACTTGCACCAAACTGCAAGTTTATTGCAATCTTTTGTGCTGGCTGGGTATTTGAAAAAACAGTAAACTTTTTTTGTTAGGTAAATATTTAGATAACTTATTTTTCTAACTCCTTAGTGTTAAAAAAGTTAAGAAACTTACAATATTGTCATAAATTATCATTATAAAATAACATAATAAATGTTACTGAAAACGATTAATTACAAACCTGGTGCGAAGCATACAACTTTAATCCCTTGATCGTTTAATTCGACTCTTAAAGCAGAGGCCCAAGCACGAATACTACTTTTGGTAGCGCCATAAATAGAAAATGAAGGCAAGGGTTCTACAGTGCAATGACTCGAAATAAAAATAATTCTACCCTTGTCATCTCTAAGTAAAGGTAATAGTTCCTTTGTTATTCTTATTGTTCCCACAACATTAACATTTACCTGATGTAAAATTTGATCATCTGTTTGCCATTCAAAATCTCCAATTATCATCAATCCTGCATTATTGATCAGTGCATACAAAACTGTAAGGATAAAAAAATATTTTTTATCATATGTTGAAGACGGAAGTCAATTAACTAAAATAAATAATTTAAAGAGAAAATAGTAATGTTTAGAAAAAAATACTTAATTTTTACTTTTAACAAATCTACTCATAGGTAAAGCGTACATTGCTCTTCACTAACAAAGTTAAAATAAGGTAGTGGACTATCTCTCAGTATATTATTAATTCAATAAACCCGGATAGACAGTATTTTATTTAAAAAAGTATTAAAAGAGAGATGAGATAAAGACATTAAAAGGTGACTAAATAATTCAAAACTGAAATAGCACAAAAACACTGTAAACAGTGTACATTTAGTTCCCCAGAATTAATCATTGATAAAAATGTTTACAATTAAATCGACATTTACGTTAAGCGACTTGACTAAAATCAAGTCTCACGAAGAATGGTTTATTTCAATCAAAACAAAGCGATCAAATAAAAGAAATATTCAACAATAAAAAAAACAATTTGTCCATCATAAAATGAGACAACAAATAATAAATTGCATGTGTGAGAAATGTGTTTAATGTGAATGTTTGTTTTACGAGATTCTGTATTTTTTCAAATAGAGATTTAAAGTAATATACCAGAATAATAACAATTAAAATGATACACAAAAGTATCAAATTACTTTTCGAGCTCTTAGGAGTCCCAACAGTTAATTTTAAATATAAACAATTGTTATATTAATGAACACTTTCAGAATTTAACTGGAATCTGCACTTTTTGATATTTATAACACTTTATACTTGGAAATCAAATTTCCTTTTTCAACAAACTTTCATATATTAATCAACTTCACAAATTGTGGTATATTCACTTTACTATTTCGGATAATTCAACAAACTCAACCCTTAATTTGGGGAGCAAATAACAATCTCAACCACTTTTAGTGGAAGTAAAACTTTATACTCATCCGCCTTTTTGCGAGAAACACATCCGCTCTGCGGGAAAAAAATTATGACTCCTCGAACAATAATTTGGTGGCAATGATCACACCCTGTTTGTATGTAATTTTGACTAGTGGGAGGGTTGATTTTGCAATCCACAGCTCGTTGTTTCCATGCAAGTTTAGCAAACTTGCATTTTATTATTGGCCGAGTAAAAATTTTTAAGTCGATCCGAATGATTTTTATTTCTTCATCCGACATATTGGATTCCCCATTTTGAATTTTGAAAAGCTAACTTCAGATTCGTCATGATCCCAAGTAACAAATTCCATAAAAATCTAACAATTTCCCTATCAAAAAATTACACGTGTAGATATGGCCACATGTAATTACACGTGTAGTTCATGCTTTGAATTCGAAAGTCATTTTTTAAAATATTACACGTGTAACACGTGTAACAAATTCATGAAATTTTAAAAAATTGCAAAGTATAAAATACACGTGTAATTACACGTGTAGCAAATTCTTAAAATTTCAAAAAGTTTCAAAGTATGAATTACACGTGTAATATTTTGAAAAATGACTTTCAAATTCACCCAAGTAGCACGATATATCAACCAGATGTCACGGTGATATCACCGAGGAATGTCACCGTGACATCAGGAAAATGTCAAAATGTCCGCCTTACGGTGATATCACACAGTGACATCGAGGTGATATCATGGTGACATCAAGGTGATATCATGGTGATATCATGGTGATATCATGTTGATATTTTACAGGGATTTAAAATTTTTTAAAAATTATTATTTTTTTTATTTACTATTATTTTTTAAATTATTAAAAATTTTAAGTCCCTGTAAAATATCAACATGATATCCCGGTGATATCACCATGATATCACCACGATATCACCTTGATGTCACCATGATATCACCTCGATGTCACCGTGTGATATCACCGTAAGGCGGACATTTTGACATTTTCCTGATGTCACGGTGACATTCCTCGGTGATATCACCGTGACATCTGGTTGATATATCGTGCTACTTGGGTGAATTTGAAAGTCATTTTTCAAAATATTACACGTGTAATTCAAACTTTGAAACTTTTTGAAATTTTAAGAATTTGCTACACGTGTTATTACACGTGTATTTTATACTTTGCAATTTTTTAAAATTTCATGAATTTGTTACACGTGTTATATTTTAAAAATGACTTTCGAATTCAAAGCATGAACTACACTTAGGAAGAAACGTACACGTTCAGGAGCAAAACGGACTTCAGATTCGTGTTCAGCGGCCCAAAATACATGGGGATAGGGTACTGTGATCTCTGAACCCGGGCACTTTCTTTGTGATTATCATGGTAAAACCCATAAAAAACCATAAAATCATGGTTTTTTGCTATTATCTCGTAAACAAGGAGGGGGTCCTTTATGTTTATTTCATAAACATTATGCTTCCTCATTGTGTGAAGCAAAAAATTCGCTTCCTCGTGAAGGAAGCAATGAATTTGTCCAATTCAATTGATTGATTTAAAAAATTTCGTGTTAAAATTGTTTTAAATTAATTAAATTTTTTCAAAAATAAAGAAAATTTTAATTAATTTTGAGTGTAACATAAAGTTTATATATACGAATCGATTCGTTTTAATGCAAGGAATACAATTATTTTATTCATCAACTTGTATTTAAAAAAAACACAAAATTTTTTAGCTAAAATATGAATTTTCGATTTTTCAATTTTTATTAATTCTCAAATTTTAAATCAAATCTATACTTTATATATACCAACCAATTCGTTTTAATGCAGGGAATAAAATTATTTCATATATAAACATGAATTTAAATAAACACATCATTTTTTAGCTAAAATGAGAATTTTTGATTTTTTAACTTTCTTTAATTCTTTAAATTTCAATCAAATCTATACTTTATATATATCAATCGATTCATCTTGACATAAAGAAGACGATTATATTATATATTACCTTAAATTTTTCGAGTTAAAAATTTTTTCAATTAAAAAAAAAATTTTGGAAAAAAGACGATAAAATTTTTTTTTTGGGGTATTTTTAAAAATCCTCTCGTCATTTTTGAGAGATTAATGTGTTAAATAAGCCTACCAAATTTTACCCAAATCCATTAAAACCTGTTAAAGATATCGTGTTCACAAAAACGATCCACACACACATACACACACACATACATACATCCGGACAATTGATCAGGATCTCATATAACATGTTTCTATATAGAGGAAAATTTGTTTTCACCATTTCTAAAAAGTTTATAAACGAAAGGACTACATAGCTTCCTCCACGAGGAAGCAAAAACGCAAAATTTTGAAAAATGTTTCAAATAAAAATTGTAGGTCTCAAAAAAAACACATTTAATGTTGTATGCATTTTTTAACAAAAGTGGTTATTTTTTGAGAAAAATCCATAAAACCATAAAACATCATGAAAAATGACGGAAAAAACAATGAAGGAAGTGAAGGAAATCCGTGGCGTGCTTGGTGTGTACGTTTCTTCATAGTGAGTACTATTAACATGTTTTCATTTAATACTTTTTTGTTCTTTATACTTTCTTCTTTTTCTTATTTTTTAGTTTTGAGGTAATTAATAAAAAAAACATTTCTGTTACAGCCCTTATTCGAACCAACCAGCTTTTCTTCGCGAATATGGTCCTCGGCTGTCGGACCCAACCTTTGAAATTGTATTCGTGTAAGTGTATCGTTAGGAGTGGGAAGAGGCCACTTTAGTCGAGAGTAGGTGGGAGGAGGTGAGTGTTTTCCCTTTTTCTTTTTAATTAATACAAAAGAAAATTTATTATATTTTTTTAATTGATTTACGATTTTTTTTAAATATATATATCGTAAAATTCCAAAGATTTTATAAAAAAAATTATCAAATGACTGTATGTTATTTTTGCTTCCTCGTGGAGGAAGCTATGTAGTTCTTTCGTTTATAAAATTTTTAAAAATGGTGAAAACAAATTTTCCTCTATATAGAAACATGTTATATGAGATCCTGATCAATTGTCCGGATGTATGTATGTGTGTGTGTATGTGTGTGTGGATAGTTTTTGTGAACACGATATCTTTAACAGGTTTTAATGGATTTGGGTAAAATTTGGTAGGCTTATTTAACACATTAATCTCTCAAAAATGACGAGAGGATTTTTAAAAATACCCAAAAAAAAAAATTTTATCGTCTTTTTTCCAAAATTTTTTTTTTAATTGAAAAAATTTTTAAATCGAAAAATTTAAGGTAATATATAATATAATCGTCTTCTTTATGTCAAGATGAATCGATTGATATATATATAAAGTATAGATTTGATTGAAATTTAAAGAATTAATGAAAGTTAAAAAATCAAAAATTCTCATTTTAGCTAAAAAATGATGTGTTTGATTAAATTCAAGTTTATATATGAAATAATTTTATTCCTTGGATTGAAACAAATCAATTAGTATATAGAAAGTATACATTTGAATAAAATTAATAAAATTAATGAAATTTAAGAAATAAAAAATTTACGTCTTAGCTAAAAAATTGTGTTTTTATTTAAATTCAAGTTTAAACATAAAATAATTGTATTCCTTGCATTGAAACGAATCGACTGGTATGTATAAAGTATACATTTGCGTTAAATTAAAACAATTAATGAAAGTTAAAAAATAAAAAATTTACATTTTAACAAAGAAATTTTGTGTTTATTTAAATTCATGTTCAAATATAAAATAATTGTATTCCTTTTTTTAAACTTTCATTAACTCTTTCATTTTAAATAATAATAATAATTTAAATATATATCATACATACCAATCGATTTATTATAATGCAAGGAATGCAATAATTTTATGTTTAAACTTGAATTTAAACAAACACAATTTTTTTATGTATATTAATTTCAGTGTTAATGCTTCCTCCATGAGGAAGCAAATTTTTTGCATCATATAATGAGGAAGCAAAATGTTCATGAAATGAACATAAAGGACACCCTACTTGTTTTATAAGTATTATGTATATTATAAATAGTTATAAATATAAGCTTAAAATAAATAAACAAATGTTGTATTAA